CTGGGGACCAACAGAACCCAGATACGGTACTCACTGCTGACAAAGTGAATTTACTAGCAGTAGCTGAGGAAAACCTTTGACCAGATGTTTCAATCTGAGTCATAGGTCCAGCACAGGACACCTAAATGAGTATCTTAATTTTCCAAAAGAACTGAAGCGTTTAGCAAGCTTTGTTGAGGTCAAGGAGAATAGCTGAGTTTTCAGTAATCTTGCAGAAAATAGGTTCCTAATTATATAGAAAATCACAGACCTTAGCAAAACAATCTTCAGGAGGTATGTCAAATCTGCAGCTGTAAACACATGCACGTGGCACAATGGCTACACATTTACCTAAAGCAAAATGGCTTGGGAAACACTAGCATGCTTTAAAAAACTACATTCCAAATGGCCCCAGAACAAAAGAGAGGATAGCAATATTGTCATCATGTCAGAAGCTCATGCTGATGTTAGTGCTTTGCACTCTCTTGTTGCTGGCCCCTGTATAGGACAATTGATTTTGGGTCTGAGTGATTTTCACTGTTGAAAAGGAATGATGTCAGAGAATGAAGCTGTGGTGAGATGTATTTGCTTGCACTGTTTGTACATGCTTTTTCAGGCTGCACTGTATGTGAAAGCCCTATAAATCTCCCCAGAAGCGAGATCCAGCTGTACACAGGCAGTGCCAGAAGCCCCAGTTTTTCACTCCTGCCGATGGCCAAGGGTTGCCTTTCCAATTGCACTACAAAACAGCCTCTCTGTGGCTTCCAGCAGGTCTCAGGCTATTCTGGAGTGGATTCATTACAGTGGTTTGGTTCTGTTTTTCTTAAAGGAAAGGTCAGGGAAAGTGACAAGAAATGTAGTCCAGACTGCTAGGGTTTATAGTTTTTAGACTTCTCAATAAGCAATAAATCTGGTTTCAAGTTCCTACCTCATGACTGCTGTGGGAATAAATGTATTGTAATACATCACGGGTTGGTGTTAGGAGATACCATGTTTTAAATCCATTTTTGCAGTCTCCCTTGAAGACCCTCTCTTTTATGAGAGATGACTGCAGAAGCAGGTCTTCGAGAAGACCTGTAGAAGATGATGAGCCTCTCCACAGAGACATCCTTGTGCCACCCCCTGCCTGTGAGACATATGCCCTGCGTGAGCCAGCTCTGTCCCCTTGCTCAGCCCATGCATCACCAGCACAGCAGCCTTGAAATCCATTGCAGATGAAAAACATTTAATGGTGCCCAAGAGATGCAGGGAGAAAGGTGGAAGAGGGCTTGTAGGGCAGTAGATATTCCTATTTTAAAGACTCAGGACTGCCATGAATGTGACACAGTGACAAAGTGTAGCTGGAGAGGAAACAGAGCTGTGTGCATCTCTTCTGCTACCCTTTTGTCCTGGGATTTATGCGATAATGGAGTGATATTACAGCAGATGCACTGCTGCCCGTTTTCAAACCTTCTACCACCTTCATCCTTTCTAGACCCCTTTCCTTGTCCCTGTCCCTCTGGTCCTTTCTCCTTTTCCTAGTGTAATGCACCGTGCACCTAAGCATCAATGCAATGCCTTCAGAGCTATGATTTCTTCCCTGCACAGAGAAGCTACTTTTTTCTTTCCTTTTAACTTGGCTAGAGTGCTGTTATAAGTTCACGGAAAGATCTGGATGGGAAGGGACCTCTGGAGGTCTCTACTGAGGCTGCCTGCTCACAGCAGGTTGCTGGGGGCGGTGAGGGCTGGCAGCTCCCTAAAGGAATACAAGAGCTGAGATCCAGGCATGTAACAAGGCAGGCAGAGGAAGAGGCTTAGCCAGCAAGGGAAAGGAGACAAAGGCAGGTATAGGCAGATAGCCGGGTTCAGCTGGGAATCCAGATCATCACACGAGCTTGTGGTGATGGGGCAGGTCCAAGGTCAAAGTAAGAAGTCAAGTCAGCATCAGGATTGGGTCTGGAGGCAGGAACCAAGGTGAGCCACAGTCCAGAGATTGCCTGACAAGTCCATCATGACAAGACAGGTCTTGGGTCAAGACAGGAAGCCTATCCACAGGTCTGGATCCACAGATTGCGTGGTCAGGCACAGGCCAGACTCCTCAGACAGGAGCCAAGGGCAAGTGCACCGGCCTAAAAGCATCTCCTGGGGCAGGGGGCCAGTCCTGGCTGAGGCTCCCGCAGAGCTTTCTGGAAACTCTCCCCAAAGTCATCAGAGGGAAGAGGCTGCTCAGCTCCACTGCCTCTGACCTGTCCCCAGGCTCATACAGCCCAAGCCAGGAGCAGAGAGGATGTACGTGGCAAGTTCAGGTTTCTCAGAGCCTTGCCCAGGTGTCCTCTGAGCACCTCCCAGGATGGCGATTCCTCAGCTTGCTGAGGTACCCACAGCAGTGCTGAAACGTGCCCTGGGGAGAGGCTTTTCCTAATGCTCACCAGGACTGTTGCAAGTCATGGCTGTTGTGCTTTCTCAGGGCCACTACGAGCAGAGTGTGGCTCTGTCTTCTCTTGGCAAGCTTGCCAAGAATGAATGAAATGTCAGCTGGCAGATACCACACCTTCGGAAGAGGCCGCTCCTCTGCTGAAGTTACAGTATCTCCACAGCACACAACTTCTCAAAAAGCACACCAGAAAACGTGATCTTTTCTTGTAGCTTCATTCCTGAAAATAGTGGAACTATTTTTACCTGGAACATTTAATAAATATTCCACCTCCAGCAGAGGAAATTTTAGCTCAAATATTTTGACTAAATTATAAATAACTGCAAAGCTGATCTCCTAATGAATCTCATCAACCAGTTTAACAATAAAGAGGGCTGCTGGTCTTGTTACATGCAGCAGAAAAGTTCCTGACTTTGGGGTTCTGAAGGCTTTGCTTAATTGTTACATATCGATAGCTGTGGGCCCAGTGTGGGCTGTTGTGTTTTGTCCTTTGGGTATTCAGTCTTTTTCAGCTTGCATTAGTTTTGTTTTGGTTTTGAGGACTCTAGTCACATGTAATTGCTTTGGATTCTAGAGGGGATTTGGGATATTTTTCATGTTTGACAGAGAGAATTGGTGTTAGCTAAGTTTCTGTTTCCGCATTTTTGCTTTGTAAGCTTCAGGAGTTTTTTATTCCATCACATGGTGATAAGGAATAGCACATGTATGTGCTGTCTTTTAGTGGAATGAGTCATTCACCCTTATCTTGCTTTATGGCTTCTTTTTAGTCAGTGTTTAAAAAACCCCAGACAAACAAATCTGAAAGTTCTAGGGTATGATGGTGTCCAACAGTACAAAACAGAACTACTTGAAAGCTTGTGTTCAGAACAACAGGAGCTATGTGACGCAATGGTATTCAAGAAGGGAAAGTTAAACGGGAATATAAGCTTAGCAAAGTCTTTTCAACCTGTATAGGTGACCCTCTACATCCTACTGTGATAGCTCTTGAATTAGCATTCCTGTTAAGTATGTCAGAGGTGCCATTCACTACTTCCCTGTACTTCGTGTCATTTGCAGATGTGAACATTAAACAAATGTCTCCTGATCAAGTAAGACTAAACAAGTGAAAGGTCAGAGAGATGGCAAAGGTGCACAGAATGCTTATTCCGTATGATCAGACAGTATCTGCAAAAATGTACAAATACATTAGGATTTCAACTCCTTTGACTTCCAGAATGGATATGTCCTATGCTTCTGGAAATGGTTCCCTACTTGGTTCATATATAAAAGTATTGTTATTACTATTAATCCTGACTATTAATATTAAAATGTATTTATACTTTCTAGAAACCCTCTGATATTTTATATTTTCTAGAAACCCTCTGATACTCTGAGTTCTGTAAATTGGCTTGAAAAGATGTTTCAGAAGTCCCAGAACAAGCCAGACCTTATCTTCAAATTGCTTTTATTACTGTTTTTATTCCTTCCACTGTGTACTGGCTGTCTGCCTCCCACCACTAGATGTATCCCTACAACAAAACATGTATTTTGTATTACAATTGCCCTGAGCAACTTCAGCTGTGCCTGCTTTGAGCTTGGGAGGTACATGCTGCCTTCCACTCCCCCCCCCCCGCTATTGCTGGGAGTTAAAACGGATGTCCTCCAGAGGTCCTTCCAACCTAAATAATTGTATGGTTCCCTGACCTTGTGTTTTAGATGCTGATCTGTCATCCCAGGCATTTTTTTTTATTATCTTTCCCGCCCGGAGTTGTTCTTGCTCGGATTACATTTTGCATACCCTGCTTGCCTTTCAGCTGCAGAGTCCTTGATCCTGTGGCTGAGTGCAGCGAAAGCTTCACATTTTGTGTGTTGCTTTTGAAGCCTTTTTTGCAAACTCGTGTGTTCTGCAGTGCTAACAGCATCTCGGCAGAGGCCAGGCTGCCGCTGTGCTGATGCTGCTGTACATCCTGCTGACCAAAACTGGCTCAGGGTTTTCCTTATTGTTTCCCACATTCCCACTGTCTCTGCTCTTACGCTCGGAGAGATCTTTAGGCATGGATCGGGTTTTTTTGTTTGGTTGGTTTGCACAGCATCTTGAGCAGCGAGATCGCGATCAGTGACGGCTCCCAAGCAAAATAAGAAGAAATAATGTAATATCACTGAAGAACCTGCCGTGCTGGTGATTTTGTTTGAGGTTATCTGGGAGTCTGCAAGTACTAAAGTCAGGCATAGCTGTCACTGCTTTTACCTGTTTCAGACAGTGACAGCGACAAAGCTCCGATGGCAGTTGTAAAACCTCCCTGCACCGCTTACGCTGTCCCCTGGAGCATGGGCAGTCAGCCCTCCTCCACTGGAGCCCCTGAAACACAAAGGAACAAGGAAGAACTTCTCTCCCAAGGAGGGCGAGGGGTAGAGAGAGAGGATCAAATTTTTCACCTCCAGGTGATGATGAAAGAGGTTTTCTAACACCATGGGGGGGAAAAAAAAATTTAAAAAATTTTAAATAGAAAAATAAAAAGAAGGGGGGGAGGGTGGAGGAGGCGGTGCTGAGCCGGCCGGAGGAGGCTCCGCTCCCGCCCCGCTCCCCGCCCGCCCCGCGCTCCCCGCGGCCAACAGCGGCCCCCGGCGGCGCCTCGGGCCCGACCGGCGGGACCCCCGCGGGAGCTCCGGGCACACGGACACCGGTGCCCCGGGACCGACCGGCGGGACCCCCGCGGGAGCTCCGGGCACACGGACACCGGCGCCCCGGGACCGACCGGGTGTCCGCTCCCTCAGCTCCGGCCTCCTCCGAGATGCAGCGGGGCAAAGCGACTCCTCACAGCTTTCGGAAGAAAAGCAGTTTGTAAATTTTAAAAAATGTTAATAAAGGCAAGAAGCTGTAAAACTGAGGTAAGTAAATGTGTGAGTGCTCCTTCGCTGGAAGCAAGGGGAGAAAATGAGTTAATTTTGTTGTCAGGATAGTAACATCCCCGTAAGGCGTTAAGAACAGAATTAAAAAACCATCTGGAAGTAATCTAGCCCCTGGCACGGTCTTCCTGAGAGTTTTTACCTGATCAGAACCTGGCAAATGTTGAACTCACACATTTAGGGAGCAGTTCAATAACTGAAAGCACATCCCCACAGAAGGTGTCGCAGCCCTGCTTTGAGTCGAGAAATGCCAGACTGACTTTTCCCCTCCTGGACTCCTTGTGCATAGGTGCCACGGTTGTCCTTCCTTACGCAATGACAGACTGTTTTACCCTCGATGTCCCTTCTTTGTTCACCATATAGGAAGAACATCGGTCACAGAGAGGGGAAAAAAAGTGGCCTTTTACTTGTTTTTCCCCTTCTTTGTTTTTTTTTCTGTGCTGTATACAAATCCATCAGCTGTCTATCACACATATGTGAGCTCCATTCTGCAAACAGGGCTCCTGATCTTCTCTTTTCTCCTTCTCCTTTTCTGTAGTGTTTACCATCCCCACTTCCAGTGGCTTTATAAATTTGGATTAGCGTCATTCTCAGGAGGCCCTTTAGCTGATAAGGTATTATTACTATTTTATAGGCAGGAAACTTAGTAGCTAAAATGTATGTTCTGAACTACTTCGGATGGCACTATCTGGAGTGCTACATAGCACATATCAATCGTGTCACTCCTGTTGGTTTAAGTCATAAATACAAGATCTAAGTAATTCTGTGAATCAAACACCAAAGCCTCATGATAAGGCTTCCTTCCTCTATAGGAAGGAGCAAAGGAGTGGTGGTTTTGGGGACAGTTTGGTGCATGTGCTCGTACCCAGTATCACCTGGGGGTCCTGGGGCAGTCGCAGGAGCTGTGAAGGTGGTGGCAAAGGGTTCACAAATACTCTGTTATGAGGAGATTAATTTTTTCAGATGCTTCTATATCAGTGTGTGACATCTATATAATGAGCAAGGGGAATTAGACATTCTCATTGATGAGCATGCATTTGATATAATTAGCATTACAAAAAACCCGGTGGGACGATTTGCATAATTTCAGTGTGCTTGAGTCCCCAGTTACAGCTTATTCAGAGGCAGCAGGGAGGTTAAAAAAAAAAAAAAAAAAAAAAAAAAAAGAAAGAAAAAAGAGAGAAGTGTTGGGGAAACATGCTGCTACGGCTGAGGGACAGCAGTTCCTGCAGTAGAGATGCTGAGAGCAGCACTGTGTGCCCAGGATACGGAGCCAGGGGGTGGCACACATGCTATGGGAGACCTGCACTGGGAAACACGTGGGAGATATTTTGCAGTAATGGTGCCTCATTAGCACTTGCCAAAATTATTGGTGACAGTCTGTAGGCAGGGAAAGGACCTGTGCTGCCACAAGCCAGTTTGTTTGGGGTCATGCTGCAAAGGGTGGCAAGGCATTTGTTGTTGGCCTGGGAAGTGGAGGTTGTCTTCTTGACCAGGTCACCTTGTTTGCACATCTGGAATATAACCTGAACCACCAAGGAGCACACTTGGTGCTCCAAAAGGACCTGCCTCCAGAGGAGGGAAGTGATGTGGGGAATTATTCAGGAAGAAATACAGTGAGAGAAAAACATCAGTGGATCTTGTGGCTGGTTACATGAAGTTTATTACCTAGTGAAAGAGCCCACAGCTGTAATCAAGGGGAAAATGCCATCTTAGTCAGAGGGAATGTGACTGAGAAATTCAGAAAGTAAAAGGGTAAGGCAGACAAAAAGTGACATAGGCTATTCTGTCATTCTGCATTTTGTGCTTTCTAATGGTGAGGGAGTTAAGGCAATGGGTGAGACACCGTGACTTACTGGACAAGGAAGAATTAAATATAGGAGAAGCAATAGGAAAATTCTCTGGCTACTTAATTTAGGAATGGTATTTATTGACTTTAGTTTCAGAGTAACTGCCAGTAGCAATATATCGTCAGTCTGGTAAGTGGATCATGGCCACAGGCAGGCTGACATCAATGCTTCAAAGGGAAATGGTCAGGCTCATCACTTGAGCTATTTTTGAAGCTTTGGAGGGCCCTGTCATAGATACAATTCTCTGTTTCACTTTCTTCCAACTTGACCCTGTGCTCTCTGTTCCCTCCATGCTGTCCTTCGTCATGCCATTTTCTGGACATGCAATGTGAAAGTACTAAGAAAAACTACTCTTGCAAAAACCTGAGGGACTCTCCACCAAAAATGTCATTCAGCTGGGAGAGCAATTTCCCAAGGACACCAAAACACAGGAGGAAGCTGATTGTGCCTGTCTTTTTCACCCTTTTATTTCTGTCCTTGGGTTGACTTCCACAGCCCTCTATAGGGGGTAGCCTTCACCAACTTAAGAAAATAAAAAATAATTTAATTTTTAAAAAGTGTTTCTTTACATACTGGCTTGTGTTTAGCACAGGGGGTGGTTTTAGTGATCCTGAGAAACAACTTCCTCAGCGCTGATGGTTTGATCTGCCTGAGCTTTGTACTGCTTTTCCTGCCTGTCAGGGTGAGCAGGGTGGTGGGTGTGGATCTCGGAGTCTGACAGACAGCTCTTCCCCATGCCAAGCTCCTGGAAGCAGCAGAGCACTGCAGAGGGTAGTTGTCCTGGTTTATGTTTCAAATTGCCAAGGCTGCCTATGAGACATCAGGCTGCAACAAAGCCTGAAAAAAAAAATGGGAAAGGCTCTGAGAGCTATTGGAGAAGATGCTTGTGCTCTTTAGCAGAGGAGTATTTTGAGAAATCGACAGCACAGTGACCCTACCAAGAACACAGGATCTTCATAGCACAGGCTCTGTGCTTGGATGCCACGGCAAATGTCCAGAATGGCCTTTTGTCTCATCTCCTTGGACTCATGCCACAGTGATGGATGCTTTTGGAAGCTGATGGGGCCTTGCTTGTGTCTGAACCTGCAGCCATTTGGAGCTTACAGCCTGCTGATCTTGCCTAGCTCCTGGCTGCAGTTGTGTCTCCTTGTCCTGCACCAAGCCTGCATCAAATCCATCTCAAATTTCTTTCCCAGACAGATGAGGGAATTATGTCCAGGGTATAATCAGAAAGCTGATCAAGGAAAGTCAGCATCTCTTATATTTTGTTGCTCCCAAAGCTTCTCCAGAGGGAGAGGAGGCGGGGGAGAGGGGAGGGACAGGGAGAGGGGAAGAAAAAAGCTTGAGCATCCATAAAAGGGGTCAAATTACAAAAAGAGAGGTTCCACTTGCCTGCACATGCAACTAGGGCAGGGTAAACTGGAAACTTTGTTGGTAAGGTGCAATGTCCTTGTTTTGGGTATCTGGTGGAGTATATTTGGCTGTTGACTAAATAATTGTTTTTAAAAATATGGTAACACAAGACTTGAAGAACAACTTTAACACCTGGCATTGCCCCTGTGTGCTGCTCTGGGAAGTTTCTTAACATCATTCTTGTTTCTGCTTCAAGTCTAGGTGACTGCATCTGTCAGCAAACATACCAGGTGTTGCTGTAGAGACAGACAAATGTCTGGGAATGGCACACCTCATAGGGCTCAGTCACTCTCAGCCTGTCCCACTTCACCCTCTGTGGCTTCATGGATTTTGAAAAAGATGGTAAAGGAGAAGAATCACACAGCCTTCAACACATTTTGGATGAGCCACATCCAGATCTGATGTCCCTGTCTCCTGCCCATCAGCAGCTCTGGTGAAACCCTCTACAGCTTGGGCAGCAAGCAAGTGTGAAGGGCAGGTACGGAAACTTTAAGTGGAAGTGAGCAGAGCACATAGGAACTAGGAAGAGGTAGAGCACAGATGCTGGGAGCACCTTATCTGTTTTATATATAAAGAGCTTTCTATCAGGTCTGCTTACTCAACCCCTCCTAAAAAACAAAAAACAACAACAACAACAACAACAACAACAACAAAAGCCAGGATTTGTGGAATTCTTAGGCACAGACTTTAAAATAGACAGTCCTCATTCATTTGGGCCAGTCTCCGTGACATTAGCAAGGAGTCTGGAAGGGGAGCAAATGAGGATGTTGGGACCAGGAGGGATGCTCTTTTGCCCCTAAGATGGCCTCAGGATGTTATATATGGGCTGGTGAAGGAATCAGATCTTTTTTAGGATTAACTGATTTGTGGTTTTTTTCATGTGGAGAATGACAGCTTGGAAGCTGTTGCAGAATCCCCTCTGTCTTACTTTTTATTCTTTTTTTTTTTCTCTCCTTCAACATTTCAGGACAGAAGTGCTGCCAGCCTCAGGATTCCTGAATCATGACTCAACAATGAGGAGATGCTGGAACCTAAAGGTTTGCTTGTGCCCCTAGAACAAGATGGACAATAGTGCTTGTTTGGCCAGCTCCTTGCCCACCCCCTGCCTCAAGTCTCCTTGTTCTGTTATCTGAATGCTCTTCCTGCTCTTTGGTTCCTTAATGAGCCTGGCACAGCTTGTTCTTTCCTATCTCCACATCCAGTGTTGTTACACCCCTCCTACCATTTTTAGCTCCTCTTTTGCTCCTCGTTTCACTGGCTCCAATACTGCTGCTCTCTCCACAGCTCCCAAGACTAGCTGCTTGCTTTTTCAAATAGTCTTCCCTCTCTCTAGGCCTTGCTTCCACTACAGCAATCACTCTTGACTTTTATAATCCCATGCACTCTGATTTTCCATCTAGTCACGTTATTCAGCCAGTCAAGGTTCTTTTCTCCCAAAGGGTTCCATCCCTTTGTTTTCCAGTAACTCCTTCTGTCTTTATCCTCACAACAGACAGTATCATAAAGCTCCTGGCCCTGATCTATTCTCCATGTTTCCCTTCCCCAAGGGACTTGCTGTTCTCCTTTCACTCAGCTGCTCCTCCTTCCCCTGCCTGGTCCAGAGCAGTCACCAGAGGTTGGGTCCTTACCCAAGATGGCTGGCGCTCACATAACCTTATCCCACCTTTGTGACACAGTGTTGACAACAGATCTTGGAAGAACTACACAGGGAAAATCTCAAATGTCCCTACAGAGCATGCATGAAATGGATTTTTTTTAAAGGTTTATCATTGATCAAAATTTGACATGGATTTTTATGGGGACAGTGAGTAGTGTAGCTCTGACATAAGGACAGCTCTCCTTCATAGGTTTCAGCTTCCTCCTCCAAAGCAGTTGGGCAAAAGACTGTTCTTTTTAGCATACACTTTAACACTCAAATCCAAAATATTTTGCTCTGCCTTTTATTTCTCCCTGAGTAGATTTAATGTACAGGCTGAAGCCATATTTAAAAAGAAAACAAAAATTATAAAAAAATCAGATGTAGGCAGACAGCCAGAATGGAACATTTCAGCTCCAATCACAAAAATTACAAGCAACTGAATGGTTTAGGGTAGGAATGCCCAGTCTATCTAATTCCATCTCTGCTGGTAAATTTCTCCTTGCTAAACCTGCACTTTGAACTTGCCACTCTGGGCTCAATCACATTGCTGTCCCCAGCAGCTTCAGAGTAAGGCAGGAATACAGGACTTGCTTTGCCATAGATCAGGGCTTCTCAGAAGCTTTGTCTGAATTGTGAGGCAGGTGGGGAAATGAGGCCTGATAACTGGAAACAAATTCACACACAAAGCCTAAAATATTTCTGTGGAAAGAGAGAAGGTCAAACGCAAAAGCTGGAGCTTCTCATAACGCGGTTGGTCTGTTAGCAATGTCACCAGTGTAAATCAATCCATTTAAAAACAGTCTTGTCACACCTCCATAAATGGCTAATGTGGACATGTTCAAAGCCTCACCTAAGACAGAACATTTTGAAGTGGTATAATTAAATCTGGTGTATTCTTAAAGGATGAGGCACCTGTTCTCTGAGTGCAATCAAACTGAGAGCCTGCAGGCTGGCATGGCTCGCTGCCCGGGACGCCGATGCCGTTCCTGTGCCCGCTTGCAGCTCACAGACGCTGGGTGGCAACTCTCGCTCCTGCAGAAATGCAGCTCCTGCTCCCGGGGCAGCAGCCGGGCTGCAGCACTCACCCTGTCTGCCTGTGAGAGGTGCAAGACGGGAAAGGCTGCACGGCACAGGACCTGACATGGTGGCTGAGGAGAACAGGAGGAGAGGAGGAAATGGCTGCTGGCAGGGCAGGCAGGCCCTGACAAGTGGGATGCTCCAGCAGGGTCTGTACACGGCCACTGCAGTCAGAACAGCCCTCCTCCCGCAGCTGTGGTGCCGTGAAAAGCTGGGCTTCCCACTGCAGCAGGCACTGAGCAGGCACATCTGCTCTGCTGCCAGAGCCAAGAGAGGAGCAACATCTACTGCAGGAGCCAGGGGACAGGAGCACCCAAACTGTGACGATTTCCACTAAGCAAGCGTGTGCCCAAACCAGAGATTTATCCAATTAAAAGCCAGGCTTGGAGCAGTTTAAGTTTGTCCTCTGCATTAGGCATTATGATGTTTTACTAAACAGATGTAAAGTTGCTTTAAACATCACGTGCAAATGGTGTGGTGTGGACTGTACACTGCAAACTAGAGCTCTGTGTTAACTCAAACTGGCGCAACCTCGCTTGGCCCTTCAGCTACTCTCTAGGTAAAAGAAAGCAAAAACGGGTATATTCCCAAGGAGGCAGGCTGGAGACTGGCTTAATAGGTGCCCAAGAGCACAGAAACCTTTAAAAAAACGAGAGGGAAGAATTGTCAGAAGGACTCAGGGCTTCCATTCTCTGAGTCCAGAGCTCCCTCTCCAAGTCACTGGAGTGCTGCGTGTGTCTGCCCGCTTGTTTCTCACAGATGCCAGAGAATCATCTGCAAACAAAACGTATGACAGGCAGAATAAAACGGGCAGCAATTTGCAGACTCCATCCTCGACCGCCTCATGCTCCCCTGCAGACGCTTTCCCTGTAAAACAGATCCGCCACAGGGGGACTCCCTGTAAAACACAGAGTTTGCAAAGGGGGCTCCTGCGTTTGCTGCCGGAAAGCCAACAGACAAAGGGACCACACCTCAGCGGCAGCGCCGGTGCCGGTGGCCGCCGCTGGGGCCGCGGTGGGCACGCAGCCACGGGCGTGCTCCTGGCAGACCCCTTCTCTGGTTTCACCGGGGCGAGGCCCGATGGAGCACCTTCCCCAATGGAAGCAGCAGCCGTGGGTTCCTCACAGGGAAAAGAGAATGCTTCCTGCCTTTCCTTGCAGCAGCATCCGAACTTGCTGCTGCTGCTGCTCTAAGACCCTAAGACCTTGAATGTTCTGCCAGGATCTGACTGAAGGGATGCAGGCATCTTCACTGCATCCCATCCAACAAGGAAACACCTCACTCTCTTGTCACCATTCATTACTATTTCCCAGCCCACCTTTTAATCCACAAAGTCTATAATTTGTAGCTTCCGTTCAGAGTGTGGGGAATTACAGTTTTTTGGTTCTTTTCTGCGTATCAGCCTTTTACATGTCACTATTTCAGCTTCTGGGGCTCACACTTCCTTTTCTTCTCTTAGCTGTCAGGACACATGTGCTGGCTTTAACAAGAAATAAACGCTGCAAGTGCTGAGCTGTGCTTGTAAGGGCAGGTAGTGAAAGAACCCAGGAGAAGAACGGAGCAGCTCCGAAACACTCCCGTAACACTAAATCCAGTCAGGGCACAAAAGCAGGGATGGGGGCTGAAAGCAGAACCCAGACAGTGGTAAGAACTGCCTTCAGAAGTACAACAAATACACTCAATATGAGCGGATGGCAAGATGTGGAGTTATCTCCCATACCAGACGTGTGATAATGCGGATGTGAGTGGATAGCGAGCCGACCCCAACGCGGCACACAGTGGCCGCGGGCAAGGAGCAGGAGGCCTTTCCAACGGCAGCACGGCACCTGGCAAACTAGGTCAGGGCTCAGTGGTCACAAATGCCATGCCAGCGCTGTCCCGGGCCCCCGGCAGCAGAGGCTCCGTCCGAATCAGACACGCACCCACCGTGGCACGGGCAGCACGGCATGGCATGGCACGGCACGCACTCCAGCTTTGTGCTTCTCTGCTGACGCGATGGTGGCCGGGCCGGCGGGCAGTGCCTGGGCTGGGGGCGCACAGCCAGGGCTGAGCGAGGAAGGCACCACGGCGAGGGGCCCAGCACGGGCGGGGACACCCAGGACAAGGCTCTGGGAAGGCGCGTGGCCAAGGCGGCAGCTGGGGCAGCAGCGGCTGCCGGGCTGCCAGGTGAGGGGGAAGCCAAAGAGGAGCACAGCGGCCAGGCTGGGGCGAGGCAGGGGGGCAGACACGAGAGGGGAGGTGCAGGGGGCCGAGCCGAGCCGGGCCGAGCCGGCAAGGTCTGGCCCACGGGGTCAGGCCTCAGCCGCGGCTTTACGGGCTGGCAAGCGGCGAGTATTATGGGATGGCGAGCCCTTCTGCGAGGGGGGGGGGGAAGGGCGAGCCGCGACTATTATGGGATGGCGAGGCCTCCCGCGACCGGAGGGGGGCAGGTGGGTGGCAGGGCATATTATGGGATGGCGGGCGCTCGTGCCGCCGGGGGGAGTATTATGGGATGAGGAGGATGCCCCACAAGGAGCGGGGTGGGGGGGGGGAAGCGGGCGGCTATTATGGGATGGCAGGGCCCGCCGCAGCCGGCGAGGGGCGAGAGTATTATGGGATGGCACCATTCCCAGCGCGGTGTGACCGGGCCACTGTTGTGGGATGGCTCTACCTTAGAGCGGGGCTGCCTCCCTGGGAAGTATTATGGGATGCGGCAGGAAGGAGGAGGGGGTGCTGCGGGATGCCGGGGGGAGGCTGCAGCCCCAGCCAGGCTTCCTGGCGGTGCCCGCCGGGACCTCCCCGCGGTGCCCCCGTCCGGCCCCAGCCCCCCCTGCCCTCCTCAGTCGGGACCAATAAAGCCGGCAGGGTATTATGGGATGGCGCGGGGGTGGGGTGGGGGGGGGTGGTTGCCATGGTGTGTTTCCCGTGGGTGGCTATTATGGGATGGAGTCGCCTTTGTGAACTATTATGGGATGCGGGGTGGGGCCCCGCCGCCCCCCGGGGCAGCGCGGCGGGAGGATGGGAACGCCGGGATGCACCGGGCACGGGGCACAGGGCGGGGCCGGCTCCTGCCTGCCAGCTGCACGTGGGCTCCCTAGGAACCCTCGGCCGGGTCCCCAGCATGGCGAGGCTGCGGGCTCCTGCTTGCCCTCGCAAGCAAATTCTCACCCAGCGTAGCTGAGGGAGGGAAAAAACCCACAGCCATTCCAACTGGGGCTGTGCAGCATCTCAGCGTCTCATTTGTACATTTGTCCCAAGCGTATCGTTCTCAGGGAGAAAGTTGCCGTCTAAGTCCAAGTGTCACAAGGCTCTGACTTATATAAGTTCAAGAAATGTGCACAAGTGTAAGAACAACACACAAGGGTGGCACAAAGCAAGACATGTCCCTGCATGGTCGGTCCCAGAGCGTATGTGATCCTTGCTTTCTGCACCGGGGGCACAGCCCCAAAGTACCCGGTCTGGTTCTTGCCCGAGATGAGAGAAAACTTCTCCAGACCTGTGTGCCAGTGGCAGCTTTGCCCGGTTTGGAGCCCATGGTGACTTAGCAGGTATCACCGTCGAGATCCATGAAGATTTGACTCCCCTCCTCTCCAGCCTGAGTCCATCAGCTCTGCTCAGCAGCAGTGGTGTTCTCACCCAGCCAAATGGAGAATTCAACCTCCAGGCTAATTAGCAGTGTTCCCTGGAGCACAGTTGTTGCTGGGTGCAGCGCTGGAAACACCTCTCCCAGATCCAGCTGGAGGTAGGAGATGAAGGAGAGTTCTGTCCCAGCCTGTTTTTTCAGTATTTCTGTTAAATGAGCTCAAGAGATGTGAGTCGGTGTTAGTGATTTTTTGCCAGCACGCACCAGCTTTGATACAGGAGGCAAAAATAGGTATGGCAGAACAGCAGTCCAGGCAGCTCAAACCAGTGGGATGTTGATGCAGCCCCATTGAGACCCCTGGCTCCTTCCCTGGCTGGATCCAGCTATTTGTTTCATGAAGAGGGGAGGGGATCAGGACATCTCTAAGGCACTTTAGGGAAATAAGAACCTAAAAATGGTAACTAATAAGCATTCTTAACTTTTGTGTGTTGCTTGCAGCTTTTGTTATTCATTATATACATATTTCTATGTTAAAAGACGTGTCAAAGTCAAATTTTTATAATTGCAAAATAGCATTTGTTTTTTACGCTTTACTAAGTGCATCCATCTTCAAGAAAAAAAAAGTGAAAATAAACATGGAAAATTCGAATCTGACTATCTGATGTCTGGCAAAGTTCTGAGTAACTGAAAACAGACTTGTGATGGAAAATATCGAGTAACCTTAGCTATAGGTGTCAGTACCAAGTATGTGATGTTTTTTAAAGCAAACAAACCAGCGAAGCACACGGAGATAGAGATCAGCCGTTCTGATTTCCAGGGGGCTGATCAACCCCCAATGTTCTCCGTCTCTCCCCCGCCTCAGTTCAGTGCCGCCAGCGCTGCCTGCTGCACCGTGCACGTCTGGCTGACACGGTGCGGCCACGCCGCTCTCCCTGCCCCCTCCTTCTCCTGGCAAAACAGGAGACGAGGCTCATGACGAGTGCTGAGCGAAGTCTGAAATGCTCTTCCCCTAACGGGAAGTAGATGCAGAGTCACGCTGGCATATGGGCAGCCCTCACCTAGGTGGCTGTTAGAGAGAGACTCGATCCTCCATTGACAGTAAGATGTTCTCAAAAAAAGGAGCGCATGTTCTTGACCTTATTCTGGTTGTACACTCCAAAATCGTCTGTGTGCAAGTCTCTTTCTGCCTCTTGTTCCAGTGGCATTTGTCTGCTGCAGGAGCAGCTCCTTGGACATGACAGGAAAGGCTGTCTTTTCTCCACAAAATGAGCTCTGTGTGCCAGAGGATTTTGGAGTGTACACTCTTTCTGCCTCTTGTTCCAGTGGCATTTGTCTGCTGCAGGAGCAGCTCCTTGGACATGACAGGAAAGGCTGTCTTTTCTCCACAAAATGAGGAGACTTTCCTGTGTCATTTTCTGCCGTGTCTGACACCAAAGTAAAGACACTTCCATTGGGCTAAACAAGTAAGCTCATGCTTTTCTTTGAAAAAAACCTCACTCAAACTACATAAGGAAAAAAAAAATAGAAGGGGGGTGCATGATGAAGACAACAATGAAAATTGGTCATTTAGATTTCCTTAGCTTGCTCTGGAGCCTTTGTAGAAAGCTGGGAGTGGAGAAGTGTATCCTGGGCAGAGGAAAAAGCTTTTGTAAGTGTTGGGGGAGACTTGCAGAATCCAGAACAGTTACTTTGGCTAGTGCTGGGGATACAGAATTCTCACAAGACAGTTTAAAATGGGGGCAGGGGGATTTGAGTGTTGAAGAGACACAGACTCTGGGACAATAACTGGATATTGAATGAAAGTTTGAACCATTTTCTTGCTAATTCCAAAGTAAAAATTACCTATCTCAGAGTCTGATACCCCCTCTCCACTCAAAAAAAATTATCTAGGGCAAAATTCTCTGCTTTACCAAAGGAAAAACAAAAGGGCAAGGCTTCTCAGAAATCCTGGGATCTTCAGGGTTCCTTCGCAGAAGTGGTAAAACCTTAGCTCAGTCGTGGCAAGCCTCAGTACGATCTGGAGAGCCTACAGGGCTGCTGAATGGCAAACACCAGGAGTAAGTCCATCCACATTAGTTACAAAGAGTCAAAACTAGGTTAAAGGAAGAGGTGAAACGTAGCTGCAGCCTTTGCAGAACAGCATCGCGTTCACAGGTACATCGGAGGCTGCCAGTTTTATGCAGACACTGGAAGATATTTTTCATGTTACTGGTTGTATGTAACCTGACAGAACAGATATTAAAGATTGGCTGGAGCAACCCTCAGTCCGGGAAAGAGCAAAAATGAGGAGAACAGAAGTATGGCTGTGTCCCAGCTCACAAATGAAGCAATACAGTGGCAGCATTGCAGTGCCCAGTGTCTAAACCCAAACCCATCAGCCCCTCTGTATTGTTACGGAAGGCAAGAGGAGCTGAGAAAAAATAGCCTGAAAGACCATAAACCGATCTTTCAGATCACATTGTCTGCAGCACCAGCATGTCAGGCTTGTAGTCTGTTATCTGTGTCCCACATACGAACGGTCCATGCTAGGCTGGAGAGTCTCCCCTCTTTCCAAAATGCTCTGGAGTTCCTTCCTCCCACCCTCTTTGTCCTACCTTGGGCAACACTGAAACACACAGGACAGAGGTTTCCAGCCTACACCCTGAGTTCTAGGGTGAAACAATGTCAAAAGCTTTGTTCTTCTTGTTACCTTGGGGAAATATGTTTAAAAGTGAACATAAATTAAAAGTGAAAGTGAGCAAGGGCTGTGGGCCTGATAAAAGCCTGGACAGGGACAGGTGG